GTTTTTGTTAACACTGTCGGTTAGGTTTAGTGTAGGTGGTATGGTAATTTAAAACCCATCACAGAAATCCATCCATCCATCCATCCATCCACACACAATTAAAAAGCACAAAATTAATGACATTTTCCTATTTTCCGTGACCTAATCTAAAGTGAGAAGTATTTACTGTAAAGTTGTTAACAAAGCATTATTAAAACATGATTGTAACACCAGTCACAAATTCTTATAAAAATGTTTTGATATATATTAAAATTATCGCAAACTTACATCTGATGAGACTGTAATCAGTAAATTATGACTTTTTTTTTTTTAAATGAACGTTTCACGTGAACAAAGAACGCCAATGAATTTAAACGGAAACATAAAAAAAGTAAAGACGTTTTTAAACCTTTTTTTTTTTAGTGGGAAAATCATTATGTGCACACCTGAAAAGCCTCCGAGTTTGAATGTACATTTCTATAGTATTTTGTATTTTTAAAATAGTATTTAACATTGATCGATAAAAGTACAAGAACCATTCTTCTGAACTTGTTAATATCTTTAGTTATTTGCATGTTCTTTTTGCACAACTGTTAGACCTTGCACTTATGCTTTACCTTGGAAAAGAAACGGATTACAAATAAACAAATCAACAACTGGAAATGTCAGAAGTGGTGTACCAGATAAACACTATAAACTTTTATGTTATGAAATGATGCCTTATACATGGTGTTTCTTGACTATAGATATTTTTATAGTGTAACTCAAAGGTCAAGGTACAGGTTTGACACCATATTTTGAGACTGACTCAATAATCAGAAAAGTTTCTTGAATATCAAATCAGCAGAAAAAATATCGTTCTGTATGATTTTTAAGCTCATCTTTAATCAAAACAGCACATGTTCCTGTGATATGACTGATGTTTGTAAGACTCTTATCTGCCTCCATTCATGGCCTGCACTTTTTTCCTGTTCGATGAGCCAAATCACCCAGAAATACGTCAAAAAAATCAGAAGTAAATTTGGTCGCAAATTCTGTTTCATGCCAACTTTAAACAATATTTGCAATATAACAGGGTAGTGGCTGCTAAAAACTGGGATTTGCCACCGCAGCTAAAAATGCAATTTTTAAATATATACAAATAATACTTTACAATAGAAGAGATCCAGAGGCAAATGACAGCCACATGGATCCTACTGTTAAATAATGCTATTAAAGCTGATGTGTATAACTGTCTGTGCTGAAATACTGGTTAACATGTAGAGTCAGTGTGAGTAAGCCAGTGCTGTAGTTTGTCTTCTTGAAGAGTGTAAACACTGTGACTGTTTGAGCAGCCTGACATGTCAACTTCTGACTCAGTCAGTTGTGTGAGTTTGGGGCGGGACCAGTCGTTTGCCAGATGACAGATCGAGGTGGAAGTGTTTGGGAAACTTGTTTCTCATGCTTATTATTTCTGCAATTCCATTTAGCTCTACTAGTAGCACAGAAATCACAGATTCACCTTTAACTGAAGCCAACAACAACGCAAAGTCAGGGGTTTTGCGAAACAATGTCATATTTAATTATAATGATGATAATAAAAAATAGACGAACATTATAATTAACAACGAATCCAACAACAACAACCAAAACAAAATAAATACAATGACTTGGTACATAAATATGGCTTAAAAAAGTGGCACATCAGACGAGTGCAGCATGAAAACAGCGGTGAGTGAGGATGAGGATGGTCGCGTGTGTATCAGGAAGGGCTTGCTTTACAAGTCTGCATGAGGACATAAATGAATGGCCTGATATCATCCACTGCCTATACAGCGAGAGAGAGAGAGAGAGAGAGAGACACAGGGATTGTGATTATGATGTGTTGAATGAAACATGGTTTTTAACTAGTGCATTACACATTTTTTTAAAACAACATATCCAAGCCTCAAGCATATTTTTAAAGATCACACCACAGGACCATTATATTGTTACCAATATATAATATATATAATACCAAACATTATACCAAACTGTACTTCCCAGTATTTTATATCATTATTATCATAACTACAAAAACTACTCATCACAAAAACAGAATCATAAAACACATAAATAAAAACGCACATAATGCGCAACCTCTTCATTGCGTTGCATTAGTGCTAAAACAGCTCGCTGTCAGTATACCCAAGTTTCCATCCAAGGAGTTTTGCGGAAACCGATTCAGCGCATCAAAATATTTACTGATGCAGCAGATGGAAATGCTGACTATCATTAAAATTTCACAACACAATCTTTGGTCACACTTTAGCTTGGGACCAATTCTCACTAGTAACTAACTATTAATTATGACTTTTGTCTCAATAAACTCATAATTTGCTGCTTATTAATAGTTAGTAAGATAGTTAAGTTTAGGTATCATGTAGAATTAAGGCATCTAAAATATGGTCATGCAGAATAATATGTGTTTTATAAGTACTAATAAACAGCCAAAATGCTAGTAGTTAATAGTGAGAATTGGTCACTATAAAGTGTTTTTTTACTGCATAAATTCTGTGTTAATTCCTAAAATGCCTGTATGTTGCTCCCTTTAAAGCTTGTTTCTTATTTTAATTTTTGATACGCCTAAACATATACACCAATTCATTTTTCTTAAAGAATGACGTTATTACACGCACCATTACATTGGATGGAAACAGGCTGGAGACAGCAAATTTTATACTTAGCTTAATTTTGACACAGTTTCACTTATAACAGAACAGTGCACAAAGTAGATGGAAACTTGCTCAGAAAGTGAAAAAGAGAGAAATGTGAAATTATATTATAGTCCAGCATGTCTATAATATTCTGATCAAAATCACTTAAACACACGCATGCGTCATGATACTCTCGTGAACGCAGGTCGAAGACTGACACGGAAGAGAAGAAATTGTTGAATAAAGTCATTATTTTGGTTTTCTTTGCAGACAAAAAGTATTCTCGTAGCTTCATAAAATCACGGTTGAACCACTATTGGTTCACATGGACTATTTTTTATCGATGTCCTTATTATTATCTTTCTGGACCTTGAACGTGGTAGTTGTGTTGCTGTCTATGGGAGGTTCAGAGAGCTTTCGGATTTCATCAAAAATATCTTAATTTAACCACCACTGGCTCTGCACCCATTTACCTAAATTCATTACTTCAGAGTTATGTGCCCTCTAGAAGCTTGCGTTCTGCAAGTGAACGGCGTATTATTGTGCCATCCCAAAGAGGCACAAAATCACTTTCACAGACTTTTTCCTTAACTGTTCCCTCCTGGTGGAATGACCTGCCCAACTCAATCTGAGCAGATTCCAATCCGAGCAGTCCTTAACCATCTTCAAGAAACGACTAAAAAACATCTGTTCCACCTTTATTTGACCCTCTAACTCTAACACTTTCTATTCTATTTTAATTCTACTTTATCTATATTTATCTTCTTTTTTTATTTAAAAAACAAAAAAACAAACAAACACTAGCTTTCTATTTTTTCTATTCTATCTACTTGTTTTTCTTTGTGTGTGTGTATAATAAATATATATATATACACCTTGCTACGTGTACTGCGTTAGGCTAACCGAGACTTGCCATTTGCACTTATATATTGTTGCTCTTTTGTTAGTTTTGTCTGCTTTTATTGTCCTCATTTGTAAGTCGCTTTGGATAAAAGCGTCTGCTAAATGACTAAATGTAAATGTAATTTGGGTTCCGAAGATGAATGAAGGTCTTATGGGTTTGGAACGACATGAGGGTGAGTAACTAATGACAGAATTTTCCTTTTTTGGGTGAACTATACCTTTAAAATCCCTCTCGGGTTGTCAGATGAGACCCACCACTGTTTACACCTGCTACTAAGATCAGTCTCCTGATTTTGTCACTAGATACATTACTCATTATATGACTGTGAGTTTATCACTCTTAGTATAAAACAAGAAAGTGGGAAAAATTTCAACTGAATGTAGTCTCTCAGATTTCAGAGGCAATTTCAAACTTTTTAAAGACTGTGTTATTTTACTACCGATAGGAGTTTTTTTTTTTTTTTTTGTAATGGTAACCAGTGAAGGGACTGCATTGGCTAACACTGGTACAGAGTGTTTACACCTGTATATAGCAAAAAACGGATGTTAATACCAGGTGTGAACGTGGACAGACAGAAACCTGTATGGAATGCTTGCTCTTTCTCAGGCTGCACCAGCAGACACTATTTAATCAGTAACCAGTTAACAATTAGAGTGAAAGAGGAAATGAGCATCAACCAGCGGCCACATCTGACACATGACACTGGTTGTTTATTCCACTCTTATCAAAAGGAGGGGGGGTTATAGTTCACATGGTCTTTTTATTATGAAGCTGGTCTGGTGATGGTCTCAGGCTCAGTCAACACATCCACAGTCTGTTCACTGACCATCTAATAAAACTACGGTAACACTTTAGTAAAGGGACCAAATCTCACTATTAACTAGTTGCTTATAAGCATGCCTATTATTAACATATTGGCTGTTTATTAGTATTTATAAAGCACATATACTGCATGACCATATTCTACATCACTAATCCTACCCGATACCTAAATTTAACAACTACCCTACTAACTATTAATAAGCAGCAAATTAGGAGTTTATTGAGACAAAAGTCATAATTAATGGTTTGTTAACAGCAAGAATTGGACCTTAAAATAAAGTGTGACTGAAAGCAATTATGAACACCACAAGCTCCAATCAGACTGTTATGCAGCATTTTGGCATCAGATTTCACAGGTTTACTTTGTATGATCTCTAAACGGCCTGTAAAAACAAACTGCAGTTGGTCCTTTTGTCTATCAGTAATTACAGTGTTTCTATACTGCAAACTTGGACAGAGATAGCAGAGGGGTGTCTTGCGTGCTTGTCATATTTGTGGACAATCATTCTGACAGAGCACAAATGCCTGTGCATTTTAAAACATGAGTGCATATATAAATAGACAATGCACAGCTGACATGAAGCTGGATTAATTGTGTGTGTGAAAGCATGTCCAGGTCCTCACCTCCTGATGTGACTAGCATCTAGCTGCTCCTGTAAGACTGACGCTCTCTTCTGCAGGAAGCTGACCTGCAGAATAAACAGCAAAATCATCTACACGTGCAAGCATTCCCAGAGCATTATGGGCTAGTTCTCTGGTGAAGAGTATGAGCTCAACAGAAATTAATATATAAGCAGCCCACATGATTCTGAATGGTAAACCCACAACTGTTAGGCCAAACTGTCAGACCAGATCAATGTACTCTACTTTTAAAGGGCTCATGCCATGAGAATCTGAATTGTCCTTGATCTTTGGAAATAAAAGACTTCAATGTGCTATTAAAACATACTGTAATGCTCAGAACTCCAAATGTCCTCCCAGCCTATAAAAGAGCATTTACTAAAAACGGCTCATTCAGAACTTTCACAACTTTTTGACCTCAATCAGATGAATACATTAACACATCAATGACACCCACTGGGAGTTCAGAAACTTTATCAGCCTACTATCAGTGAAAAAAAAATACATATGATTCATGCAACCCCACAATTGCTTTTACCATGTGCTATTGTGTAACAATAGTGAGTAGCAAAAATGTATGTCAATACAGCAACCGTAGCTCCGCTGCGAGCAAATGTGATTCTTTATGAAAATAGCTTCTCATAAAAAATATACTTGGTTGATTCTGGCTTTTTTAATTTTGCACGAGCCTGAAAAGAATGTACATTGTTCTGCGACGATTTTCCTGGAAACCAAGATACACAAAGCAAACCGCAGAGCAAATCTAATGTTACCATCCTTGCAAATGCATGCCTCTGACTCTGAAAAGAATGACTATGGTTAGATTCCTAAACGGCCACTGGTTTTGTTAAAATAATGCACTGCTATGTGCAATACTCGAAATATTCAAGGACAGAGGAGGCCATGCTGGTCACCAATTACAATGCATAAACATATCAGATCACAGAGCTGTGGCTGCGATTCTGAAAGAATCTAGTCGGAGCTATTCAGAGGCGTGCGCCGGGGCTTTGAACTGTGATCTCGAAATGTTGTTTGAGGGGCCCCCGGATCATGCCTGACAAAGAGGGACTATTGTTTAGATTTGAAATGTTTAAAAAATGCTCTTGCAGAAGACTCGTGTAGAACAAGGCTGACTGTAACTAATAAGACCCTGGCCGGAGCCCTTGAAGCCTGTATTAATGTGGTTGGCTGGTGTAATTGCACATAAGGAGATGAACTGGACCAGAGACTTCAAAGACCCGTGGCCAAATTAGATCCATGTCTATGGAGGAACTTGCAGGACTTGTTACCCCCCTCCCCTTCCCAAGAAACCAAATAAACAAGAGCCACTTGAGTTCAAAGACGTGAAGTCTGACTGCTCGGCATTATTAGATGAGGGACAGGAAGCTGCGATGGCATACAAGACATCAAATGTGGAGGTACTGAAGTGAAGCGGACTGATCACAAGCACAGAGGTGCAGGACTTCATACGAGGGGCTGAAAACCTAGCTTGTGTTCGAGTTTTGGTGTAAAATGCACTCCACACATCAACAACGTTTGACTTTTAAGAGTGGCTTGGAGACTATAAAACAAATGATACAGAAACCATCAAATGCTTTATCATTTACAGTAGAACTAATGTGCTGGGTCTGTAATTTGGGTAACACTTTATTTTAAGGACCAATTCTCACTATTAACTAGTTGCTTATTAGCATACCTATTACTAGCATATTAGCTGTTTATTAGTGCTTATAAAGCACATATTAATGCCTTATTCTGCATGATTATAGTTTAGATCCCTTAATCCGATCCCATACTAAACTTAACAACTACCTAACTAATAAGCAGCAAATAAGGAGTTTGTTCAGGGAAAACTCTTAGTAAATATGTGTTCCCTATTCTAAAGTCTTACTGTAATTTTGATTTGTTAGTGCTCATAATATACAGAACACTGAAACTAGACCTTAATTTCAAAGCGGAAGCCCCAAACAATGGCAAATGCAATAAGATCTCACTGCTTCACAAATGCTTCACTGTTTTTTGCAACCCATTGGAAATATGTGACTCCTATATGTGGCTACATTTCTGCAAAACTTGAAATACATTGTTCCGGGTACATTTCACTGCACTTTTCAGGTAACATGCCCACAATAAGCGGTTTAAATTATATCCCAGTGTTATGGAAAAAACCCTGCTTGTGGATACATATTTGCAAAATGATATGAAGTTGCCTGTAGCATGTTTCACAGCTGTTTCAAAATTAAATCTTCTTTGACTGCCACCAAATAGCATGTTCAATTTTCTCCAAAACAGTTAAAGGTAACTGTGCCAACAGTTTATTATGTTGGTTAATGCATATGTCATGGCAGTCTGGAAATGAAATGTCCGATAAGTGGCGATAAAGTGTATAGTGTATAGTTATAGTGTAAATAACTACACGAATCCCTACCCTAAACCTAACCGATAATCTTAACAAAGCAAACATGAGATAAAGAAGAATTTGCTGACGCAACCATGCCATTTTAGCACACTTCTATGTGCGCTAAGCTTTTTTCTGGAGTGTTGTGACTCGTGTTTTACAGGACTCGTACCCCACATCGCAAATGCAGCACTATGCTTTATTACAGAAGACAACCATATATGTGACCCGGACCACAAAACCAGTCTTAAATGTCAATTTTTCAAAACAAAAATGAATAAATAAGCTTTCCATTGCTGTATGGTTTGTTAGGATAGGACAATATTTGGCCGAGATACAACTATTTGAAAATCTGGAATCTGAGGGTGCAAAAAAAAATCAAAATATTGAGAAAATCGCCTTTAAAGCTGTCCAAATGAAGTTCTTAGCAATGCATATTACTAATCAAAAAATAAGTTTTAATATATTTACAGTAGGAAAGTTACAAAATATCTTCATGGAACATGATCTTTACTTAATTTCCTACTTATTTTTGCCATAAAATAAAAATCTATAATTTTGACCAATACAATGTATTTTCGGCTATTGCTACAAATATACCCCAGCGACTTAAGACTGGTTTTGTGGTCCAGGGTCACATATATAGAGCTGGATATTTGATGCAAATGTATTAGTTTACAAATCACACACTATGGTAAAAGTTATTTGAGGCTATAAATAGTACTGTGCAAGGAACAATGTGAAAACAAGTCTTTATTAATCAATAACCTGCCCCTGTAATCATGCGTGAAAAGGAAGAAAAGTTGGTGGTTTTACTGCCTCTAGTGTTCATTTCAGCTGGAAAGTCCATTGAAATGTATATACAGGTGCATCTCAATAAATTAGAATGTCGTGGAAAAGTTCAATTATTTCAGTAATTCAACTCAAATTGTGAATGCATGAATCAGTGCATCAGTGCGGCGTGGCATGGAGACAATCAGCCTGTGGCACTGCTCAGGTGTAATGGAAGCCCTGGTTGCTTTGATAGCAGCCTTCAGGTCATCTGCATTGTTGGGTCTGGTGTCTCTCATCTTCCTCTTGACAATACCGCATAGATTCTCTATGGGGTTCAGGTCAGGCGAGTTTGCAGGCCAATCAAGCACAGTAACACCATGGTCACTGAACCAGCTTTTGGTGCTTTTGGCAGTGTGGGCAGGTTCCAAGTCCTGCTGGAAAATGAAATCAGCATCTCCATAAAGCTTGTCAGCAGAAGGAAGCATGAAGTGCTCTAAAATTTCCTGGTAGACGGCTGCGTTGACAGTGGACTTCAGAAAACACAGTGGACCATGCAAAAGGAGCCCCTACCAAGTATTGAGTACATGTACAGTAAATGAACATACTTTCCAGAAGGCCAACAATTCACTAAAAATGTTTTTTTTTATTGGTCTTATGAAGTATTCTAATTTGTTGAGATAGTGAATTGGTGGGTTTTTGTGAAATGTGAGCCAAAATCATCCCAATTAAAAGAACCAAAGACTTAAACTACTTCAGTCTGTGAGCATAGAATTTATTTAATACACGAGTTTCACAATTTGAGTTGAATTACTGAAATAAATGAACTTTTCCACGACATTCTAATTTATTGAGATGCACCTGTAGGTACTTTTTTGCAGTTTTGCAGAAATGTAGCCAGAGTCACGTATTTCCAATGAGCCTGGGTTGTTTTTTTTCAGCGATTTATGTGTTTAGCGTGTAAGGTCTAGGGCAGCTGAGTCTTCAAGCTTTGTTTTGGATGTGGTTGGGATGTTAGTTGTTCTCATAGCTGTTGGGAGTCGATTCCGCTGCTGAAGAACTAAGACCAGAAGTACTATGATCTGGACAAGCGGGTACTCATCATGTTAAGAAAAGAGAGGGTTATGTGGCCAGAATTAGTTAATTGTAGCCAGGCTGGGATAAGTTGTTTGAAGAAGCATTTATGTAAACCACTGGCTGTTGTGTTTTGTCAATTGCAGGCAATGAGGAGACTTTCAGTGACATGAGGTGTCTTTATGGTCCTGCTTCTTTACTTCTAAACTGCTTGTCCTGTGTATGGTCACAGGAATGCTGGAGCCTCTCTTAACGTCTCGGGCCGTAGACAGGAAAACAACATGGATGGATGGCCGGTCTATCACAGGGTTCTTCTTACATTGTACCTCTTAACTGTACTGTACTGTCGTTTACGAATAAAAAAAATAATTAACTTTTTACTGAAACACCAACACGAAAATTAAAGTTTTAATTTAGCTGAAAACCAAAAGCAAAAATAAAATACATTTAATAATCAGTTATTTAATAAAATTTATTTAATCGTCAACGCTTAAATAAAAAATGAGTTGTACAATCATTTAAATTGCACTTGAGGTGGTTTTTACATAAACTTTTTAATGTTTCTGCTCAAATTTTTTGTTATATAAACATTTAAATGGTGGCTGTAACAAAACACTTGTTTTAATGACAGATTTATTTAAACAAATGTTAAGTAAAAACATAATGAATATGTTAAACAGTACACTGTCCTGAAAAAAACAGGTGTAATTTTTTTTTTTTTAGAAATTGCGGTAACCCTTTAGTATAGGGACCAATTCTTACAATTAACTAGTTGCTTATCAGTATGCCTATTATTAACATATTGGCTGTTTATTAGTAATTATAAAGCACATATTCTACATGACCACATTCTACATCACTAATCCTTCCCAATACCTAAACTTAACAACTACCTTACTAACTATTAATAAGCAGTAAATTAGGAGTTTATTGAAGCAAAAGTTGTAGTTAATGGTTTGTTAATATCGAGAGTTGGACCTTAAAATAAAAAGTGTGATCAAAATTGCTTGTAAATTTCACAAATAATTACAAAGAAACACCAAGTAACACTGAATTAAACATATTTTTACTGAATGTTTAGTGAAGTTTTGTTCACGCATTAACAGAAAACAGCATAGACTAAAAGATTTTGAGATGTAAGAATCCATATCGGTATCAGTTAAAATACGTCACATACTAATCAAACTGTCTGTGTTTATTTTGCGATAATGACTGACGTACTTATGCAATTCCCTGGCTGCCGAGTCATTTCCCCGGACTGCTTGCAGGAAGCAGGGTCACCAATCAAATCTGCCAGCGTCCAGTCAGTGGGTTCCCCTTGCAGTTGGATATTTTATCTCCCTTTTCACACGTTAATCATTTTTTAAAACATTCTCTGTTGATTTTCTTTAACAAAAATAAACACCTTTCCGAATGCTGATGCACCACTCAATGCATTTATTTTCGCTTACCCCATAGTTGCTTTGCATCAAAATAATGGCCACTTTAAGGTCAAATTCTCGCTATTAACAAACCATTAAAGGTGGGGTAAGCGATTTTTCAAAAACGCTTTAGAAAACTGATTCGGGCCGACTAGCAAAACAAACTTGTAGCCAATCAGCAGTAAGGGGCGTGTCTACTCATGATGTGGAGTAGAGAGCGTTCAGTGCACAGGAGCCGAGCGACAGAAGGATAGAGATGGTGGAAAAACAAAACAAAAGAGGAAAACGTGTGCGGAACAAAAGAAGACTTAAGGCAATAAGGCAAGAAGTAGGACCCGTGTAAATATCGGATCAGCTTTCCAGCGCTGGAGAGAACTCAAGGAGCGGAGGCCTGCGATCGGACACCGAGGTTGCTTTGTTTCTTCTCGATAGGTGAGTAACACCGTGTCTGCGCCGCAACAGCTAAAGTCTGTCTAGCACACTGGACGTCACAAAGCGACCTTTTAAAATCATTTGAAATTTGTGTCAATACGTCATGAATAGAACGCAGCAGCAGTTTTCTGTCGGGGATTTGTCGTGTCGCGCTGCGCCGCATCCAGTGTAGACAGCATCACTGATTATAATGAGTTCTATAGTATTTTGTCGCGCCACGCCACTCGTGTTCGGTGTAGACACGGTGTAACATTGGTTTTGCTTTGTTTCACAGAACTAGCCTGGTTTGTGAACGTATGTGTGGGGCGGAGCTATCAAAATAGGGGCGAGACCCTTTTGGGGTAGGGCCGTGTTTGTTTTGGTGATTTCAAATGTCAACATTGGCTACCAGAAATCGCTTACCCCACCTTTAAAAAAACGACTAATGTGCTGCTTATTAATAGTTAGTAAGGCAGTTGTTAAGTTTAGGTATTGGATAGGATTAGCGATGTAGAATATGGTCATGCAGAATACGTGCTTTATAAGTACTAATAAACAGCCAATATGTTAAAAACAGGCATGCTAATAAGCAACTATACCAAAGTGTTACCAAAATAACAATAATCTATGAGTACTGTGCAGACATAAGCAGTAGCTTGCTGAAGCAGTATCACGAATAAACCACTGGCAATGACCAATCAGCATCAAGGACTAGAACTATCCATTCTATAATGCACATAATCCTGTATATATAAGTGCTCCAGGTGTGTTTATGAATCTGTTGCGGTCGAGTCCATTTATATGAAATGATGCAATGTCCAGATGTGCCTGTGCTAGTGGTTTTTCTGACCTGCCTTACAAAAATAAATTAAAACACTAACATATATTTGTTTATGTGTGTCCAGTGGGAGCTCTTGTGGCGTGTGTATTTGTTTGATCACCTGTGACTTCAGCGAGGTGATGGTGTCCTCCAGCTCCTGCTGCAGCTCTGCGGGAATCAGGCCTTTGATCTTCGACTCATACTCCTGACGGACGTGTGTGATCTACACAAGGAGAGAGGGGAAGAGTTTAAAAAATCAGACTGTCAGACACTGTGGTCAGTTCTCGGTAAACTAAAGCTGCAGCAAGAGTACTGCTAACTAAGCCTGTCTGTCTAGCAAGTGCAGACTATACACTGAACATACAACTTTGGCAAGTTTCTCCTCTTCCTACACACACTCAAGCAGAGAAACACTTTTTGTCACCAAACTGAGGAATGGAGAAGACGTGTTGCACTGAGGATACAGCAAGGTCATGTCTGAGAGCCCCTTTTAAAGAAAAGAGAAAACTATGCCTTTTCTGAGGCCAGACTGTCTACATTTCATCTGTTACATAGACATCAGTACCATGGTTAATGCTGCAGTTGTACATTACGAACTGAACTGATACAGGTCTTTTGGTTTGGTACACACAATTACACAAATGACTGCATACAGTATCTTTATATGGAGAACAAGTTGGTTGTTATGCCATGTCTGGTTATTTTCAGTGCCTTGCATTCTGCAGTGTTCATTAACAGAAACTTGGGTAACACTTTAGATTAGGGAACAGGAACACATATTCATAAATAATTAAGTAAGAGTTTTCCCTCAATAAACTCCTAATTTGCTGCTTATTGATAGTAAGTAAGGTTTGCAGTAGTTATGTTTAGGTATTGGGTCGTGGTAAAGGATGTAGAATATGTTCATGCAGAATAAAACATTAATATATGCTAGTAATATGAATACTAATATGCAACTAGTTAATAGTGAATAGTGTTACCTGATCTAAAGTGTTATCGAGATTTGTGTCACACAGATGACACGCCACTAAAAAAAACAACAACTATATCTACATCCTCTTTACTACTAGTTTTAACACGAAATGAACATCTCATGCCTCATGTAATCATTCAATCAGTCTTCCAATTGCGGAAAGACGTCAAAACAAAATGTCTGGTAGCATTTCATTAACCTCAGGCAGGCAAGTCATCAGTGTCCACAGTTTGTTACTTCGCTAAAGAAATTAAGTCTAGAGGAGAGCATTTTGCGGAATATTAGACTTATATATTTTACTTTACCTGTTAGTGATGTGTTCATTATTTAATGTATGCTTAAATAAATTTGTTATGAAACAAGTTATGACAGCCACTGTGTAAATGAATATATTTCAACAACAAATAGAAATTTTATAGTTTAGAAGTTAATTTAAAAACTGGATTATGTGCAATTTACATGTTTGCGTACAATTTTTTAAGTTGAGTGTTGATGATTATATTTAAAATTAAATAGCAAATAAATTTAAGTTTGGGCTTATAGTAATGTAAAAGGGCTACCTATAGTTTAGAACATAAGTTGAGGTAGATTTTTATCGCTAAGAAAATTTTAATTATAATTGAATTTATTTAAAGAAAGAGCAATTTGTTCGGTAAACCACTGTTTAATTTTTTAGAAAAGTTATTTTATGTTTAGTTTTTCCCCCTGGTGTTATACCGAACTGTGATGTCAAAACTGAGGACCGAATTTGTCCCTAAACTAAAGACTAAAAAAGCAACAACAACGTACACATTAAATTCTCTGTAGTTTTGTATTGCAGTTTTGAATGTGCCAGTCTTTCTTGGTGTTCACCATCCTGATGGACCGTCTCATATCAAGTTTAGTGAATGTGAGAATGTAAAACAATTTCTAGTCTTGGTCTTAAGAGGTCTGGTATTGGTCTTTATCTGGTTTAGGTCTTAATCTGGATCTTGATGGGTCTGGTGGTCTGGCTCTCTGCTGACTGTGTCAGACAGACACTGAGGTCCTTGGCAGTCTCTGTCCACCGTCTTATGTTAAAAATGTCTTAATAGTCGCCTTGTTTGAGGGAACAGAGGAGCAACAAGAAAGATGATTGCCTTTCCTAAAAATAATTTTCCTGTTGTGGATTTAACTGATTGTTCTGGCTTTCTGTAATTAATCTTCCGGGGTGCAATGAAAGGATTGAAAGCCACTTCAAAGAGGAAGAGTATATATTATCTGAACACAGCTGTCTGTTCTTTTTTCGTCCCACAGTGAGCTGTAGACTAGGCCTTTGCCATTTAGCCAATTGTCCCTCGCTCACAGCCCTCTGATGTTATTGAGTTGATGTGTCAATCAATTTACTTATGAACTAAAACTAAAAACCTAAAAACAAAACCTAAAAAAAAAAAAATGATAAAGAGCTTTAACATTTGGTAACTAAAAACCAGATCCATTGTGAGAGGAGACTCCTGTCTGAGTGATTTTATCCCCAAAAGAATTATAGCATTGGCTATCGAGACAACATCTGAGTGTCTCTAGCTGACCGTATTTGGCCAGAGGGTTCTTGAGATCTAGCGGTAGATGCTGGACTCATAAGAGCATGTTGTACTGCTCTCCACCGGCCTCCGATCCCAAAGACTTTATCTCAATTACCCCTCTTCATCATACACATTCCATGCAACACAACTAGTACACACTACAGCAGACGCAGCCCTGCGTACTGTATCGGGAGGCCCACGTGTAATTGAAGTCGACATGCCATGAATGTTTGCCTCAAAGAGTGGGAGGTAAAGGCATCTGTGAGGGAAAGGAAACGTGGGAGTGGTTTTCATACAAAGCTAGACAGCTTTTTGAGAATAGGAGCCATCGTGCAGTGCTGTGTCTGGCTAATAGCCCTTTACGTATAACTTTCTTTGCGCAACAAGTTCAGCATGAGATGCAGCAAAAATGTGCCAGGGGAAAGTAGCTCTTAGCATCTGAGTGCTAACAGCATGGCTAAATGGACTGGTGGGGGGTTGGCTAGTAGTGGTGTTAATGTATGTGGAGGACCTCACAACAACTGAACTCCTCACCTTTGGCAGTGTCAGTGATTTGAAGAGGTTTGGTCCTCATTTACAAAGTAGCCCTACGAGGAGCCTAAGTTAACATTTTCTGAGGAAAACCTGTTGTGTGAGTGGTGTTTGCATGTGCAAAACTCATCCCCATGATGCTAGGGTTATGTCTAAACTTTGTATCTTGCTGTTTCTTTAGTCTTATCATGGTCCCTTGTAACCTATTTCTACATCTTTCTTTAAGAAAGTCTCTGAATCTCTGGCATTCTTCTTTCTGAGCATCAGAACTCTCTTTCGCTGTCTCAGGGTCTTCCTATCACTTCCTCAGCTATCTGTCAATATAAATCAACTCACATTTGACTTATTAATCTCTTATTTAAAAAATACCAATGTTATCACTTTAATAATACTCTCTTTGGAAGGCTCTCTTCTCAAACAGCAAAGTTGTGATGTGACATTAACAGTTTCTGAAGCTCATTTGGTAGAGCAACTGTGATGCTTGTCTTCTCGAACACCACTAAAGACGTCACCAACTTAATAATAATAATAAATAATAGTAATAATAAATAAAAACATGAATGTCCATTCATTAGTGCTACTCAAAAATGAAAATTCTGTCATCATGTCCTTCCAAACCTGACTTACTTTCTTCTGCAGAACACAAAAGAAGATATTTTAAAGCATGTTTCAATTGTTTGTGTCCATACAATGAAAGTTAGTGTCACCTGACATTGTTATTGTATGAAAAACACTGAAACATTTTCCAAAGTATCTTCTTTTGTGTTTAATCCTACCCGCATAACTAAACTTAACAACTAGTTTAATGAATTGGTCCCCAAACTAAAGAGTGAGCAGAATATCAAATACTGGGGAAGTGTCATTCACAAATAATGTCTGTTGATATTGCATTAATGCAAATAGCATATTTATGGCTGGAAGGGCCATAAATATAATGGTCATATAAGGTCCCGTCCACACGGAGATGTGTTTAGCTGTATACGCAAACATTTTGTAACGTATAGGCGTTTCGTCCAAACGGATTCGGTGTTTTGGGAGAGTGAAACCGGTATTTTTTTAAACCGGGTCCCAGAGTGGATAAATCTGAAAACGCCACTCTTGTGTTTTTGTGTGGACAGCAAATCCATATGGATCCGAAGTCGTGGCCTAATGGTTAGAGAGTTGGCTCGTAACCCAGGTTGCGGGTTCGAGTCTTGTACCGGCAGGGATTGTAGGTGGGGGAGAGTGAATATACAGTGCTCTCTCCCACCTTCAATACCACGACTGAGGTGCCCTTGAGCACTCTGTATCGGCAAGTACCAAAAATAAAAGTATCGTATCGGGCGAGTACTGGAAAAAGTGGTATCGGTGCATCCCTACTTTTTATTAACTAACATTGACACAGATTAATAAATATATTGTTCCATGTTCGTTTGTATAACCTTGTATAAGGTTTATGCGCATAGTCCAAGTCTTCTTCTCTGTTTTTAGTGCATCTCTGTGGCAGAATTACAGCGCCACATGTTGGTCTGGCATGTATACTACATCGTTATGTGTCGGTTTCGTGTTGTCTGGCTAATAGCCCTTTACGTATAACTTTCTTTGCGCAACAAGTTCAGCATGAGATGCAGCAAAAATGTGCCAGGGGAAAGTAGCTCTTAGCATCTGAGTGCTAACAGCATGGCTAAATGGACTGGTGGGGGGTTGGCTAGTAGTGGTGTTAATGTATGTGGAGGACCTCACAACAACTGAACTCCTCACCTTTGGCAGTGTCAGTGATTTGAAGAGGTTTGGTCCTCATTTACAAAGTAGCCCTACGAGGAGCCTAAGTTAACATTTTCTGAGGAAAACCTGTTGTGTGAGTGGTGTTTGCATGTGCAAAACTCATCCCCATGATGCTAGGGTTATGTCTAAACTTTGTATCTTGCTGTTTCTTTAGTCTTATCATGGTCCCTTGTAACCTATTTCTACATCTTTCTTTAAGAAAGTCTCTGAATCTCTGGCATTCTTCTTTCTGAGCATCAGAACTCTCTTTCGCTGTCTCAGGGTCTTCCTATCACTTCCTCAGCTATCTGTCAATATAAATCAACTCACATTTGACTTATTAATCTCTTATTTAAAAAATACCAATGTTATCACTTTAATAATACTCTCTTTGGAAGGCTCTCTTCTCAAACAGCAAAGTTGTGATGTGACATT